CCAAAATCTCGAGTTGAAATTCTATGGAAATAGACAGAATTATGAAATTCTCGACCGTGCCGGAATTGAGATTTTCTGCGCACCCAAATCTCCTCAATAAAGAGCAGGTCTCATCTACGTCTTCTACAAGGAGAGACAAAAACAGAGAGAGAAGATGGGCAAATCTAACTTCAATTTTCCATTTGTTTCGTTGCCATTCGGTTTTATGTCTCTTAACTCATCTTGTTGATATGATGGAAGCAAGCCTCATCACTCCGGTTTTGTTCCTCTCTTCCTTTCAATCTGACAAGCGTATTTTGACTCTCCAAATCAAGTTAAAAGTTTCAGCTATCATTCTCTCCTCTATTGATGAGTATATATTTCTCCTTTTCAGTGCTGCATTGGTTGTTTCTTGATTCTAATATTCTTTTGTTGGATTATAGCTATTTTACATTAAATAATTTATAGGGGAAAGATTTTTGCACCTTAAGACATGAAGAAATTGGTGTACTTGTTAGTCCTAAATAGTTGTATTGTATAAAAGGGAAAAATTGAATAAGTATTCTTCCAGTGAAGTTGTTATTTGTAATCCTACTGCATACAAGGAAAAAAAAAATTGAATATCATGTATTCTTTCAGTGAGTGAAATGTTAGCATTTGAGAGAGATTTGACTATATAAAAAAGTTTACTGAAAGAAAAACAGATAATTGAATGAGCATAATTTTCTATGTATGTAAGTGTTGTATAATATTATGAGTGTGTTAAGTGATTCTTCAGTAATCTTGGTGTGTCGAGTGGTTTTTGTGTATGCTATTTAGTTTGCTCATCCTTCTGATATGATGGCAGCATACCTTATCTCTGGTATTCTTCCTCTCTACCTTTCAATTTGACAAGAGTATTGGCTCTTCTTATCAAGGTAATCTCAGCTATCTAGACATAATTCTCTACTCTTCTTATAATTTGATACTTATATGTCTCAAAATTCATAACGAAAGTTTGAATGTCTTCTTTGTGATATGCTTCAAAAGTTTGAAAATGTTTTAATTTGTGTGCTTATCGACTTCCACTAGTTTGCACATTATTCCAAGCACAAAAAGGCAAGTCATGTAGTCCATTTCTTCATGCGTTAGCTACTTCACGAGTTTTGCAGTCACAATTTTCATGTAAGTGTGACTATGAATTAGTATACAAACCGATCAATTTTACTTATAGAGTTTTTTATGCTATAGTCTTATCTGACATCAATTGGTTCACCCTTTGTTATGATTTTAAGTTAAGTAGATTATATAATGAGATTATTTATACATATAAACATCTATGGCTAGTGATGATGTAGACAACTTTTTGACACACTTAAGTCGCAAGTGTGCTAGAGATGAAGAAGAAAACATGAAGAAAATGACAATTATTCTTGGTACCATTACATCTATGATTGCTATTGTTGACAGGACCCACCCCGAATTCCTCAGAACCCGGGACAAATCCTGTGGATTATATGACATCATTCTGATTCCGAGCCCACTTTCCAAAGAAACGAGACTTTTTGCCAAAATTTCGGTAGAGTCTCCCCTGAAATATGAACATTCTCAAAATTTTCAACCTGTTAAAGACACATTTATTATCTCATCTGGTAGCATGCACAAGATAATAACATACAATTTAATCTATGCATGTGAAATCGAAATATTCTCACTTCCCCGATATCATGTAATAATATCCAAATCAAGTCCTTTGACTCCAACCCAAACTGTTCCCGAAACATAGACTTATAAAACGAACTGTGTAAGAATAACTTTAAAATAATCAACTCATACATTTATATATAAACAATCCAATAGGAGGTCCAAGAATATAATTGATCTTGCGGCTGCACCTGAGTAAGACCCCAGGCTACCTACGTACCCTTACTGAGGGATCAAGTCACACATAGGTCTACAATAACTAGTCATGAACCAGATAACATACAATTACTTCCAATAATATCAACAAGTTAATTTTAGAATCATCTTTTCCCTTTTAATAAAATCACAATATGCTAAACACAATTCTTCAAACATTGCTCCAATTTTTCCCCATTATTTTACTATACGCCGGAGAATCCAACGCCACGCGTAGTAAAGTAACAATGATCACAATGTTCGGATCCTTTACCACATGCCGAAATAATCCAACGCCACGTGTGGTAAAATAACCAGTATCCAAGCGAGCACACAAGCCGAAAAATCCAACGCCACGTGTGGCCCAACCAAACAATGTCTTACGTGCGCAAACTACTTTATCACACGCCGAAAAATCCAACGCCACGTGTGATAAAGTACTAACATAACCAAGCAAGCCCACACGCCGACAAATCCAACGCTACGTGTGGCTAGACCAAACCATGTCCTATGCACATGGACAACTTTATCACACGCCGGATAATCCAACGTCACTTGTGATAAAGTACTAATACAACCAAATGTGCCCACACATCGGATAATTCAACGCCACGTGTGGGTACAATAACCCGAGAAGGTATATATCTTGATGCAAAATTCCAATTTCTAAACGAATCGTTTCCTTAAAACATAAATATATATATAGTAAAAAAATAATAATACCAATACCAATACCTCTTTGTTGAAAACCAAAATAAAATCTTAATTAAGAAAAGCACCAAAACAAAATAAGCCCATTCAATTTTATTAATATTCAAAACACTATTCATAAACAAAATCACCCTAATCCTTTATAAATAATATTACTAGCACTAATAATAATATAAATAATAATAACCATTCCTGAACTTCCCATAATCATGTATCAATATACAATGTACCCTTAACTCGAACATGTAGCCATATATTTGAGTGTAATAGTATAATCGACATTTAATTAGATTCATACAGACACCAAACCCTCCTGTCAAGCCAAAAGTGAATTATAATAATAATCATTAAAATAAAACAACAACAACAACAACAACAACAATAATAATAATAATAATAAAATATATAAACAGAAAGTCTCATGTCACATGGTAAATGCCGAAACCAAACCGATAGCCCGCTTTTATACCCTCATTAACCAATATGGAATTTTTCTATAGTATTATATTTGAAGCGTGTTTTTTATTTTTATAAAATATCATGTTATAATGGGCCTCCATGTGAAAAAGGTCATAAATATTCCCTATTATTTACAAGGGAGCTTTAGTTTTAAAAGACAATATAGTTTACTAATTTGGAAGATAAGAATAAAATTTAATCTAATTAGCATAAGGCCAAAGACCAAAATGTAGTACTTAATTTTACAAAAATATCATTAAAAAATATCAAAATTACACACAATGCCACTCCTTCTAAGGCAAGCATACTATGCCACCACATGTCCATATCTAGCCAACCACCATTGCAGGCCACCCACCTACAGCCGGCCATCAACCGTTGCAGGGGACCAACTCCATTGCCTTTTATTCACCTTTAAATAAAAAAAGATTTTGTGTCATTGAAGGGACTTGAACCTTGACCCTAAAAGGAGGAAGACTCACTTACAAACCACTACACCAAACTTAATTTTGTAATATTTATTCAGTGATACAATAGTTATATAAAAAATCAACCGTTTTTTTAAATTAAAATAAAATAAAAAAAAATTCAACACATATACACAAACAAACTGTGAATAAAAGGCAAAAACTGCAACAAAAATACAATATAGATATCAATTATGTTATTTAAAAATAAAATAAAATAAAATAAAAGAAAAAAAATGAAAACAGCTACAAAAACAAAAATTAATTTTATTGAAGCAAAATGGAGGAACTAAGATGAAAGTACTAAAATGGAAACTGCGATGCAGAATTAGAAACTGCAATGTAGAAGCGGAAACTACAATGCATAAACAAAAACTGCAATACAAAAATGGAAACTGCAATGCTGAGTTTGGGCAAAAATGCTCAGCTCTAGAGTTAAACAAAACAAAACTATATATATATATTTTTTATTCAATACATGTTGGTAAAATACTCTGTTTCTGGCAATGCAATTTCCAAAAGTCCAAGTTTGAGTTCCCTTGCTCTTGGGTAGTTCTATTCTTCTCTTGCCCTCACAATTCCTCATCTGTGTAGCCTCTACTCCTCAAATTGGTGAGGTTGAAGGCCTTGGAAAGAGCAAAAATCCAATTGTAATTAAATGAAAATTGCAATGCAGTTTCCAAAAGTCCAATTTTGAGTTCCCTTGCTCTTGAGTAGTTCTACTTTTCTCTTGCCTACCCAATTCCTCATCTGGGTAGCCTTTACTCTTCAAATTGGTGAGGTTGAAGGCCAAGGATGAGCAAAAATCCAATTTTAATTAAATGAAAACTGCAATGAAGTTTCCAAAACTGCAATGCAGTTTCCAAAAGTCCAATTTTGAGTTCCCTTACTCTTGGGTAGTTCTACTCTTCTCTTGCCCACTCAATTCCTCATATGAGTAGCCTCTACTCTTCAAATTGGTGAGGTTGAAGGCCAAGAAAGAGCAAACAAAAATACCCAATGTCTCAAATACTAATTAATAAAGTTACTTATGTCTAATACCTAATTTTTCTTATTTAGAATCTATCATCTATGTATTTATCCCCCGACACCCAACCAGTTTTATCATTGTAGCCTACAACATGTACTCACTAGTTTCATAAATGTAAGTTTTGTAAAAACTTTTTGAGTATATTGAAGAAAAAAAAACCGACATTATAGATTCAACCGTTGTTAAAATTAAAAACCAAATACATAATCTATTCAAGTTAGAGATTTTGAGTATTGGATGACCTACAAGTAAGAAAAAATACATATTAGGCTTATAGATTAATAACAAGATGTTGAAACATAATGATAGATCAACAATAGAGTTGACACATGCATACCTGATAGTTCTTTATAACTTAGATTTATGTCTTGCAATGCAGACAAGTTGAAGATAATCGTTGGTATTGAACCTAAAAACTGATTGCCACGCAAATTGATACTTTGAAGTTTGGGGAAGGACCCAAACCACAATGGAATCTATCCCATAAAATTGCTGAATTTGAAGCTAATAAACTTGAGGCGACACAAATAAGACAATTCATGGGGCAGGGTGCCATGAAAATTGTTGTTTCTTAAGTCCAGCTCAACAAGAAATGAAAGGTTGCCTAAGTATGGTGGAATGGTGCCTGTGAGATCCATGTACAAGAGATTCAATGATGCTACTCTGAGGTGACGAGCACCACAAACAACGCCAGCCCAATTGCAAACGGAGGTGGTCGTTGACCAATTGACCAAGATGTTGTGAGGGTCACTAGTGATATGGGATTTGAGAGCAAGAAGAGCAAACTGGTCCGTGGTGATGTTGGTTTGTGCTGCACCCACTGTGCCTATAGAACTGTACTGCAGCTGCAGCACCAGCAAGAAGGTGATTGACAAGAGGAAACAACTTCTCTCCATGACCATGAGCACCGAAAACAGAGAAGTTCTTTCCAACTTCAAATTGTTTTTCATTTGTGTTTTCCTTTCCGATTTAGAACTTGAAATCATTGAATAATTTGTTGCAGTGCCAATCTATGAAGGTAAAACAAGTTGCCAAAGTGTGGGGCACATGATTGCACCCTTAGGGAAGAAATTCGCAAGTAGCAAATGCAACAACTTATGACGGTAGACCTTGTAATGAAGGAATAATGGACAATTGGGCATCTGTTTCCACGCATCTGTCTTCATAAATATACAACAACTTGCTAATACATATGTCGATTTTTCTTTTCTTCATTTTTTCAGAAATTTCTAATTAACCGGGCACAAGTAACGGGACTTAAATTCATCCCATCAGGTTATGGTGAGTTCATAATCCATTGCTTTAAATTCATATCCCCAATAAACATCTCCATCTGTTGGCTTCCTGTTTGTGAATGTTTTCATGAGACTATAATATGAAAACTGTACTCTTATCTCATCTACTCGATGTGTATATGCATCGAATTTCAATACAAAACAAAGCATATACACATACATATATGGTAGAAAACAATTCCATGATAGCAAGCTCGTGGACAAAATTTGCAAGCAGTTAATTGCTCAGACCAGGGCCAATTTCCGTTAGTTTTTCGCTTTGTTGGGCTTAGGCCTGTATATATTTGTTAATGCTGCCAAAGGATTGATAGTTCAATGGTAAAAGTATTTACCTCGATAGTGATCTCAAGTTTAAATACCAATAACACTTCTCATCTTCCTTCCAAATTTTGACAAATAATGATAATAATAATTTGTGAATGTGACTAATTTCAGTTTGGTCACAAAATATTTTTCAATATTAGGACTTCATTATAAATGTGCATTGCATTTCGCTTTAAATCAAATTAAAAAGTCAAAAAACTTGTGTATATTAGTCTTTTTTGAGGTACACACATCCGTTGGCATTATATATATATACACAGCTGGTAGACAATACTTCCATTCATCTCAACATCTAAAAATCCTTATCAGGGAGGGCCTAAGCATAGGCGGACAAGGAGGTTGCCTAAGGCCTTCAAATTGGGAGGGCCTTCAATTTTTATATACCTCTATATATACATATGTATGTTACTTTAAAAATATCATATTGATATTATATTAAGCTCAAGTATTGCTTTTTTTAAAAGCCAAATTATTTACTCTAAAACTAAAACAAGGAAACTTAATAAAGGACCAATTATTATTATTTTAAAAGTTAAACCAGTTTAATTAACTTAGTTGAATAGGTTAACCTAGGAGCATATACATTAGCAAAAAAAAAACAGGCTTATTTGTAGCAATGGTCTCTCAACTATACTCGAAGTTATATTTTGGTCACTGTTGAGGCCCAAAAATCCAAAGGGCTAAACCCAAATTAATCATTGGCCCAACACAGGTGATCGAATGCAAAATAGGCTCAATCGGGACAAAAGAGAATTTATGGGACCCGCCAATGCGAGCTATAAGCCACGTATCATGCCAAGCAAGCACGCGCAAAGGGACCAAGAGCATGCCAACATCGCAAAATCAGGCTTACATATCCCTTCGATGCTACTTGGCCCAATTATAGCCCATCGCGGCATAATAAAATCCAAGCATAAGCATAGGCCTCACACAAGAAAAAGCATTATTCTAATACCAAGTTGTGCCACGAGCATAAGTGGACCCAAGCCACAAGATCAACCGGGGCTTACTGAGAAGGTTGTGGTATGGAAGGAAACGAGCAATCACAGGGCCCGTTGAGGGTTCAGGGGACGTAAGTTTTTTAGCCACTTGGGGGGCTTTAAAACTCAAGCCCGTTCCTAGAACCCAAGCACATGGGTTAGCATGAGAGAGAAGAGAAACTTGCCCATGCTCTAGGAAGACACCAAGTAACCTATTAGAATATTTAGCCCAACCCACATCAATAGAGTGCCCCAAAGAAATTAGCAAAAGCCCTTTCTAGCAGTTTGACGAAAATCCATTAGAAATAATAGGCCAGCAACCCAACGTTATGCACAAGCTCAGTCCAGCAGCTTGTGGAAAAGTTGTCATCGTGTTCCACCTCTGATAAGACCCCAAACAAGTCAGACAAAGGGCCAAGGCAAGAACCAGCAGAAATTCATGGGTGAAGGGCAAATATCCATCGAACAAAAGGCTCCATCCATCTCTTTCCCCATTACAAGCTCTGTTTTGAAAACGTCGAAGAAAAGCAAAGTGGTGCCTCACCCTTGTGGGGAGGTCCAGCTGCATCGAAGTCGTTGAAACCACAATGGTTCCTTTCCCATATGTCTTGATAGAAGAATTACACCAAAATAGGACTAAGTAGGGAGCTGCCAAGGGAAAAGGAAGAGGAAGACCAGACAAAATTAGGGTTCTTCACGCCTATAAAAGAAGGCTTTTTGCTACCCAGAAAAACCAACCATTCAAAGGCCTGACCAAGCTTTGTCAAAGCATCTGAGAATTCACTCAAGACACCCAATCTCCTCTTTCATTAGTTTTCTTCTCCCTCTTAGGATAGGAATCGATCTAATCTTGCTCTGTTCACTTCAGGCTCAGGTTCTCTATAAGAAATTCATCTCTCTCTCTCTCTCTCAAATTGCTAAACTTGTGAAAGTTTAGCTCCCATGCCACAGGCTCCTCAAGCTAAGCCATTAGTGAATTTTTCATGCTTATTTGGGTGTTAGTAAAGTAATCCCAATGGTGTTCTTTTAAAATCTCATCAGATTTTCTAAAAAACTCTTTTGGGAGCTTGTTTTCAAAGTCAGGCATTTGGGGGATTTTGTTCGTCGTCTTCTTACAGCAGCTCAAGCCCATTCGTCAGGCTGCTGGAACAAAAACCTCATACAGTCACTCAACTCCAAAAATAGTTACAGAGGTTTAGGACTCGTCAATGGGCCGGGTAAATTCAAAACCTAGGCCCGACTCATGGGCCGGGCTTGAGAATGCCCATCGGGCCGAGCTGGGCTGAAATGGGCCTACTTCATTTGAAGATAAGAAGAAGAAGAGGAGAAAAAAACAATGTGTCATTCAAAGAGAGGCACTCAACTGCATCATAATTAGACCGTAACATGTTTTAAGAAATAATTTTAAAAAATAATAAATATAAAAAAAAATATTTTTTTTAAAAGGATGATATGAATAAATATGCAAATATTTGGTGATGGGTTCAAGAAAAGCATGATTATATTTGGTGGTATGATTATGTTTGGTGATATGAAATGTTGTTCGTCTTATTCTTGATATATATAATTGTTTTATTAATAATTGACACAAATTAATGTGCTAACCATCCAATTATAAACTAGGAATGAGTAAAGAAAAATAAATGAAATGAAACAAAATAAGAAACCCAAAATAAATATAAACATCCATTTCTATCACCCCTTTATCACCACTGTATCACCACTATATCACCATGGTAGCACCAGATCACATTTTAGGCATAGACGAATTATGAACTTCCTCTGTTTTTCAGTTTCGACATTTGTCCAGTTTTTACCTTTAACTTTTCAACCATTTATGCAAATTTTGTGTTCTTTATATGGTTGGATTCAGCACAGAAAAATGAAGAACTTAACGTGATCCAAATGTAAAAAAATTGATACAAAAATGAGCATAATTCGGTGGAAACAAACACAATGTTTCAAACAAGTAACACACATACAAAAATGAAAGAGGGGGGGTTTGTGATTCAAGTGGTATAATCCTAATCCTAAACCCTTATTTATACATAATTATATATGTATGCATGCCTAACGGGTTGGGCTTTTGTGGGCGGGCTGGGCCGGGCCTATGGGCCAACCTGGGCTTCAGACACCCAAGTCCAAACACAGCCCAATATAGGTCGGGCCATCCTAAAGCCCATAACAGACCTGGCCGGGTTATTTCTCAATGGGCGGGGAAGGCCCCCATCGGCCCATGAGCCCACAGGCCAAATGATGAGGCCTACAGAGGTCACTCAATTAGGTGTTGTGTTGTACCATTAGTCCTTTCATCAAATTCTGTTAAATTTTTTGTCAAAAGTAAGGGTAAATTCGGAAATTCATCCACAACCATTCCCTTCCTCCACAACCCTCCACTTTCTCCATTGTCGCAACCCACGCCTTCCTCCTCTAATTCCCAACCCCAATCCCTCCCAATCCCAATCCCAATCCTATCTTTATGTCACACTGGGCATCCATTCGCAGCCTGTATTCCTCAAAATACAAGCAAGAGGCCAGAGAAGAAGGTTGAAGTTGCTCTCTTACACTGTACTTAAGCTGACGAGCAAGAGACTAGAGAAGAGAACCAAAGATAAGCTTAGCCTACCATGAGACATCCATGCAAAGCTTAAGCTATGACAGTTAATCAAAAACAAAACTTTGTCTCTAAATCCAATAGCAGATAGATTTTCTATCCCAGGTAGTCACTGGACCTCAGAACACCACAGATTTTCTATCTTGAGCATATGGGTTGTGTGCGCATATTAAATCTACGCACTCAACGAAAGCTGAAAATTAAGACCTTGGCCATTAGAAAAGTGAGCGTGTCGGAGTGGTTATCGGGCATGACTAGAAATCATGTGGGCTCTGCCTGCGCATGTTCGAATTGTCTTTCTCTTTTCCTTTTTCTGCCCAAATTTTGGTATAAGGGAGGAGAAGCAAGGAGGGTTATGGAGGAAGGGGAGGTGTTTGGGCCTAATTCGGCACGCCCAGCCCAAAATTAAAGAAGCCTATGTCAATTTTTGGCAGCCACCAAAGTTTACCTTGAGTTTGGGCCAATTCTCGACACACCCAGTCCATTTCTGTCAAGAGGCCCATAAACATAACATTCGGGCTTTTTATCTACAAGAAGTAGAAATAAACTAACATAGCTTTTAAAACTTCTGAAAAATTCATACCATTTGATCTATACCCCCAAAAGGCAAAATCAACATATCTTTTCTCAAAAGAGCCCCCACGTGACTTTCTAACTTTAGAAAAGTCAAAGTTTTCAACCATCTCAAAGGAGTTGATAGGGAGTTAATGAAGACAGGTCTTACAAGAAGACTTCTC